GATATCACCTTTCTGTTTCTTGGATATCACCTTTCTCGACACAATCACACTATCCCTCCACGCATCTGGCATTTTTTATGACGGCAAAGCCTCATCATTAACTTCCATACTCCATTCACTCCCTCCTCGCTCAAATTTTTCCACATGTCTGCTGGTATTTCTCGCTCAGTTGGCATTCCTTCCCAGAAAACTCTTCATTTTCGTCGTTCAGAAGCCTCACGATATTCTTTTCCCCTGATCTTAATATCTTCATCTTCAATCACTGCTCCCTCCTCTCCAGGTTTTATTTGTTTGGTGCGAGGAAGGTGTGTGTGTGTGTGTGTGTGTGTGTGTGTGTGTGTGTGTGTGTGTGTGTGTGTGTGTGTGTGTGTGTGTGTGTGTGTGTGTGTGTGTATGTGTATGTGTATGTGTATGTGTATGTGTATGTGTATGTGTATGTGTATGTGTATGTGTATGTATGTGTATGTGTGTGTGTGTGTGTGTGTGTGTGTGTGTGTGTGTGTGTGTGTGTGTGTGTGTGTGTGTGTGTGTGTGTGTGTGTGTGTGTGTGTGTGTGTGTGTGTGTGTGTGTGTGTCTATCTACATCTATCTATCTATCTATCTATCTATCTATCTATCTATCTATCTATCTATCTATCTATCTATCTATCTATCAATCTATATATATATATATATAAATATATATATATATATATATATATATATATATATATATATATATATATATATATATATATATATATATATATATATATATATATACACACACACACACACACACACATCCAATATTGACATGACCTTCCGCATAAGGTCTATATAGGTGGAGAGCCTTAACCTGTCTGACTACATCAACCCTAACCCCATAAATGTCAGAAATGTTGGCATTTTGGCCAAAGCACTTCTATGTGAGAGGCCAGACAGGAAGTACACTAATGAGACTTTTTTTATTACACCCTACTCCAGTACCACTTCACCCACTCCTTCCCCTATGTCTCCTCCCCCTATGTATGCCCCACCAGACAATCCAAACATTTTACCCATCATCTCTTACCACATCCCTTTCCATTCAATACTCCACAGAGGCCAATCTCCTCTTCACCTTGACATAAAAAATCCTTTGTTTTCCAGACCTGCCGTCACTTTGAATGTAGAGGGTGGGGACCTGTCCACCTCCTCCTCTTCATACTCCCCCTACCCATCTTCTCCTAACTCCCTCCTAACATACCCACTCCTCTCCTTCTCTACCTACACCAACCCCCCTTACTTCCTCACTCTCCTTTCTGCTCCCTCCTGGATGCTCCCATGAATCCCTTTTGTCACAATGTCCTTCCTCAGATCCCACTTTTATCTTCACATCCTTTGCCTGATCCCCACCTCAATCTTCCTACTTCTCAAGACACCCATTCCTACCCTTATCATCTCTTGATTGCTCCACAATGGCACATCTACAATGGAATATTCAAGGTTTTCACTCTCACAGGCCTGATCTTCATCACCTCATATCTTACAACTCATCCATTATCTGTCTCCAAGAGACCTTGCCAACACATCCTCCTATACCAATTTCAAATTATCATTTCAATCTCCTCTATACTCATGCATCAAAAAAGATATACTATACCTCACTTTCAAATCACAGTCCCTTGCACAGTTATTTGCATCTTCACTGCAGGATCATAATTGTTTCAATTTACTTTCTCCTCTTCCCATTGACTTTAATGCCTTTGAAATTTTACTTTCTCAACTTGGTGATTTCAACTGTTGCCACACTATACCGCTACTTCCCAAGACTGTTCCCTGGAATGCTTTCTTTCTAACAGTGACCTTATCCTTCTTAATTCAGACTGCCCCACCGACATGGACATGCACACACAATTTTTTTTCATCGGTTGACCTTTCCCTTTGCTCTCCTTCCCTCTATCTTGACTTTCATTGGTTAGTTCTAGACTACTTTCCCAGTAGTACTTACTCTCCTATTCTCCTCTCTCTTACTTCCTATGTCCTGCTCCCCAACCCCTCTGCTGGTGCTTTGATAGACCAGACTCTCTAATATTCCTCTTCCTCCAGCATCCTTCTTTTCCATATCAGACATACTTTCATATTTCACAGTCACTGTCTTGAGCACTGCCTTTACAACTATTCCCCAAGGTACCCAACCATACACATCTAAATGTATTCCATGGTGGAACACTGAATGCTCCAAAGCGTTTTCATTGAAGCATCCAGCATGAAGCAACTATCGCTACAAGCAAAATACCTCTAGCTAATCATTAGCCCTAATCATTTTTATAAGGGCATCCGCTAAACTATGCCGCACAATCTGAATATCTTTTAAAGCTAGCTGTCAAAATTACGTCTCCACAGTTACCTCCTCTACACCTGTTTCTATTGTCTGGTGCAGAATCCATAAAACTATTGGGGAAACATCACCCTCATCCTACCCCAGTACTCCATTTCCATAATACTCTCATTTCTGAACCTTTCAGAAGGTGCATATTTCAGCCTCTCACCTTTCTCCCCACTTTTGTTCCATTAAAAGAGCCAAAGAATGCACTTCCATCTCCCTACAATGCCCCCTTTTCCTCTGCCTAACACCTTTCTGCTTTATATTCATGCCACAGAACGCAGGAAGGCTCTGATACCATACATAACTGTATGCTGCGACATCTTCCACCTACTTCCTTATCCTTCCTACTGGCAATCTTCAACTTTCCTCCTCACTGGCTTGAAGCACTTATTCTATCTTTCCTTAAACCAAATAAGTCCAGCAGCCTTCCTCAAGACTACTGTCCCACTGCTTTAACTAGCTGTTTATACAAATTGTTGGAAAAAATGGTAAATCTACACCTATTGTGGTGCCATGAATCCCACAGCCTTCTTCTCAATTTGGATTCCATCATGCCTGAAGCACAGCTGAACCACTTGCGTATTTTGAAAATTACATCACATCTGCCTTTGCATGTCATAATTCAGCATTTGCCATTTTCTTCAACCTGGAAAAAGTATGGTACCATATGGTGATACCACATTCTTTAGCAGCTATTATCTCTTGGCATATGAGGGAACATGGGTGTATTTATTAAATCATTCCTTTCCAGCTGTACCTTCTGAGTTAAATTTGCCTTCTTTTCCTCAATTTGAGGCATCACATTATTCCTTCTAGCCATAAATGGCTTAATATCAATACTCCCACTAGGTATCCGATTTTCTGTTTGTAGATGATTTTACCAGGCCCTTCCATACCTACTCTCTTTCAGCTAATTCAGTTTGCAACTTCTTTAATCTCTTCTTGGGTCACTGACCATTACTTCCACTTTTCCACCTCCATATCCTTCTCCATCCTTTTTTCTTGACCAATCTCCACTCTCTTTATATGATACACCTCAGGTAAATTCCTTGGTGATATTTTTGACTCCAAACTTTCCTGGCGAGACCATATCCTCCACATCCAAGAGAAAACCTGCTGCCACCTCCAACTCTGCAGACTTTCTCTTATATATCCTGAGGTTCAGACTGCACTTTCCTCCATCTTCATGCTATGTTATCCTCTCCACTCTTGACAATGGGTGTCGTATCTATTCTACTTCTACCACTCTTTTTATTCACCTTGATGCTATCCACCACTACAGTCTACATACCCCTAGGTGCCTTCCAGTTGTCTCCTGTTGAGAGCCTGTACATTGAATCAGGCCTGCCATCCCTCTCTTGACACCATACCCTTCTCTCTCTCCAGAACTATGTCCCTCAGTCCCTTCTTCCTACCTCTACCTCGTCTCCATCCCTATCTACTCTTTTCTGTCTGCATGGATGCACTTCTCTCCCATTCACCCTAGCTTTTTTTTACTCATAAATGCCCAGCTTGGCTTATATCTTCCTCCTGTATCCGCTCCTATGTTTTCAGTGATACACCACAAATTGTCCTTCTCACCCATTTTCTCAACCATACCACTGTTTCCAAATCCCTCACTGGCACTGATTTTGCTATAATCTCTCCTTCTTATACTTTCAACTTTCCACTCCCACATGAATCCAGTGTCCTTACAACAGAATTATATATGATCCTTTCCTTAAAACAGAATTGTATATAATCCTCTTTACATTAGACTGCATGTCTTCCCTCCCTTCCTCATCCTTCACAATTTTCACATACTCCAAAAACTTCTCTCTCATACAGTCTCTACAGCCAATCAACCCTCTTCCCTACAAGATTCAGGACCAACCATTCCATCTAGCCATATAACACAAAACTGTCAGTTTTTGTTGGATACCCAGCCACAATGGGATCCCCAGCAACGAATGGCCAGAAATATTAGCATATTCCGCCACCTTGTCCACATCCAATCAACCCAGATTTACACATATATCAGCCTGTGATTACTACACTCATTTCATAATCTTCAGCTTCACCCATTGGCAGTCTTTCTGGTCTAGCCTTACCAACAATAAACTGCGTATCATAAAAGCTCCCATCTCCTCTCAGTCAATGCCATTGCATAGATGCTGGGCAACTGCCTTTTCCCGCTTACACTGTAGACACACTCGCCTCACACATTTCTATCTCATATCACAGTCTCATCCACCTCTATGCTCCTTATGCAACATTCCTCTTTCAGTCCCACACATTCTACTATCCTGTCCCCACTTACAGCAACACATACTTCTGCTTTTCCTCACTTGTTCTCACTTCCCTGACCCCCCGACCTACCTTTTCCTTTGACACCTTATTCTCCTTCCTCTGATGTATAAATATCCCAAATTTGATCTAATTGTCCTCCTCCGTCAACTCCTTCCCCTTCTACCAATCTTTACCTTATACTATAGCCCATGACCCCCTCTCTACCCTCTAGTACTGTTCAACCTCTAACTTCTTACACACTTTACCCTAATCATTTACTCATTCCTAATCCTTTTTGCCACTCTACTTTACCATAGTGCTATATGACCTTAATGTCTAGCACATTTATTTATTTTAACCATTAACAATTAAAGAAAGTGAGTTCTGGGGATTGCATACATTTTATTGTTAAATAAGACAAAGTAATCTTATTCATAATCAGATCCATCATAACATAGGCAGGAAAAAATAATTCCCACCTTATTCACAATCAGATCCTTGCATAACATAAGGCAGGAAAAAAATTCCCAATGGCAGTATGAAAAGCTAAGAACAATAAGTTGAGGGGTTAAATATGCCTGGAATTGCAATTTTGCATTTAGTAAATATGTCAAATTTCTTATTTTATACATAATGTTGTCTCATGCAAATGAGCATGAGAAAAGCATTAAGGTGATCAGTCCATATAGTCTAATATCAAAAGAAAGTATTGCACAAAGACAGAAAGTCTTATTTCTAGTTTGTATGATGAAGTGGTTACCATATACATAAAGCAGGGTATCACATTTCATTATTAAAGTCTACAGTTATTCAAAATACACTCTTAACAATGAACATCTTATAGCCATGTCTTTTGTAGATATTTTATACAAATCAAACAAAACTGTAAAATGTCTAGAGCTATGAAATACACAAAAAACACATTATCTTCTTAGATATACGCAAAAAACACATTATCTTCAGTTAAGTTCATAGATGAGCTGCTCTACACAACTATTGTGCAATACTTGATATACAATATAATAAAATTATTATTATAAAAATAATTTACAAAATAAAATCAATTACCTTGATTAGCTGAAAAAGTACACTAGTCAGAACACTAACTCAAACAAAAAAAAAGTATTGTTCAGTATCACATATCTTATCTCTCAACCTTTATCCTAACTGGGCATTTATCTTAATACTACTTGCAGAAAATAAGTTACATAAAAATACTAAAAGTTGCTACTTCAATCAGTTGAGACTAAGTGATCAATCCCATGATATTACTTTTACAAGATAAAACATTTATACTTGATTATACTTAATTACTGACAGTTCCTAGTTGAATTCATGTATGAATATCATACAATCTTATTGACTAATGTATGGGCTAAAACATGCTAACCACTGTCCAATGATGAAATGCATATATATGCTCATGCTTATGCACTTTTACATTAATGAATCCAAATAAATACTATACTGGATAAAAATGGCTGACATTGTAAAAACCATTACATATCTAAGACATGTTTCCTCATGTTGGAGATCTTATGTATATCCAAGTTGTAAAGTGAAATTGAAAGTCAATAATCAATAAGGTGACACAGATACAGTTCTTTGCCTGGCTATATACCTTGGATATGTATATCACATTCAAAATACCCATCCTTGTATCCTTGTAAACATTGCAAGATACATGAGCCACCATTCCATATTTTTTCTTACATGTTAAAAACCACATAAGTGCAGAATTTATGAAGCCAGGCATCCTACACCACCTAGAAGACTTTTCTGTGCATATTACCAATATCCTGCACTCCCCAAATTTCCAAAAGCTAAGGCAGTCTTAGGAAAATGAGATTCCATTACCAATAATTTATTGATAAAGACTAAAAAGTATTAAATTACCAAGATAAAAAAATCTCTTAAAAACAAAAATATTACCAAGATAAAAAAATCTCTTAAAAACAAAAATATTACCAAGATAAAAAAATCTCTTAAAAACAAAAATATACTTCTTAAAGGTACATATGGCACTAATATTGTGTTGTGAAAATAGTTCTTAAACTCAATACATATCTTTATCAATGAAAATAAATATAAGAACATCTAAAAAAAAAAAATAGATTACAAGACAAATAATTCATTCAAGGGCAAAGAATTTTCAAATTGTTTTAATGCAACAAGACAACTTCAACTCATTTTACCTCCCTCATTTTAATTTCTTTATAGTAAAAAGTAAAATATTTATATCTTCAGCTTAGAATATCAAATGGAAGTGAACTCAATAAAATCAGCACTACTTTTTTATGGTTATCCTTCAGTTGCATAGCCTGGGGGAAAGAGGGCATTTTCTTTCCTTAAGATTTGTGAATTGTTAAACTGACAGTCTATGGTGAGAAATTCACCATTTAATAAAACATAAAGGTCAACAAACTAGTCATGCAAGGCACAAAAAGGACCATCACAAACCCTCTCTGTAAAACCTGTGGAAGCCTAACCCAGTTTTCACCACAGGTGCCCCCACCCCTGCTATCTTAATATCCTGGGTATACCATTGTTATTCTGTTATAAACAACTTTTATATGTAAAACAAGATTTATATGTAAATCATCATATGAAGGTATAAAATACATGACAAAAGTAAAATGATTTCTTTAACAAAGGAATATTTTTTCATCTGAAATTTAATGTTATCTAACAAAATCATTAAAAAATAATAAAAACTCAATGGATATTGCCAGTAGTGTTCAGTGATATTCAAAGAAAATGTGGCCAACAATACAATATTTTGGAAGTAATGACATTGTGAAAATAATGACAGCAATCATATAATCTTGCAAGTCTTTCAACATGTTGAGTCACTACAGTAGTCAAAATGTAGTATCCACAAT